TATTGATTGCATTGAACTAGAAGTTAAGAATGCCACCTGGCCATTTTGGTTGGCTTCCTCATGCCTCTGATCAACAAAGAAGATAATACATTAATACATTACTGTATTATCTGGTGTGATAGATCCTGATTACCAAAGGGAAACTGAATTGACATACATAATAGAGGTAAAGAAGAATACGTCTGGAATACAGGAGATTCTTTAGGGTGTCCCTTAGTATTACTATGTCCTGTAATTAAAATAAATGGAAAATTACAGCAACCCAATTCTGATATGACTCCTCATGGCCCAGACCCTTCAGGAATGAAGGTTTGGGTCACCCCACCAGGCAAAGAACCACAACCAGCTGAGGTGCTTGGTGAGGGCAAAGTAAACATGGAATGGGTTGTGGAAGAAAGATCAGCTACGACCATGTGACCAGTTGCAGAAACTAGGACTGTGATTGTTGTATTTCTTCATTGTTTATGTGCATGAAATATTTTTGTTTCCTTCCCTGGTGGTGTAGTGCCTAAGGCATTTGACGGCTAACCAGAAGGCTGGCAGTTCAAACCCACCAGCCATTCCTCTGAAGGAAAGTTGGGCAATCTACTTCTGTAGTGATATTGCCTTGAAACCCAAGGAGGGGTCACTATGAATCAGATTTGACTCAACGCAGTGGGTTTGGTTTTTGGCTTTCTGTTATGAACTTTGAGATGTAAACAAGGTTAATGTGTTTCAGTTGTACGCATGTTAGTGTATCATGTTAGTTTATAATTGTCCTTAGAGACTATATATGGTTAAAGAGATGAGTACAACTGCCAAGTTGACAAGGGGTGGACTATGATAGCTGGAGTTGTGTGTCAACTTGGCTGGTCCACAATTCTGAGTGGTTTGAGTGCTTGTGATGTGGGTTATTCCCATGATGTGATTGGATATATGTTTTGAGCAGCCAATCAGATGAAAAGGAGTTTCCCTAAGGGTGTGGCCTGCTTCCAATATATTTATGGACATGCTGAGAAAAAGAGACATTCTTTTGTGGATTGGGATACTGTTGTGCTACCTACAACTGTCCGTGAGCAATCCACCATTTAGCCTGGAGATCTGAGATTCATCATTTCTTGGAGTCAACAGCCAGTGTACTGCCTGCCAACCTTGAGCTCAGCGCCTGCAGCTGTGTGAATCGGGAAAAGCCTCCAGCTTGACATTTGATCCAAGAATTTGGGACTTCCCAGCTTCTATAAGTGTGTGAGCCATTTTCCTGAGATAAATTTCTCTCTCTCTCTCTATAAACTTTACTGGTTTTGCTTCTCTAGAGAACCAAGCCTAACACAATCAGGATAGGCTTCAGTGAGAAGGTAATATCTGAGCAAAGATGAGAAGGTAAGCATGTAGGACATCTGGAGGAACAGCTAATGTAAAAGCCCTAAAACAAGAGGGAGGCTGGAGTTTAGGAGAGGTCTGGGCTGGAGACACAATTTTGGCAGTTATTAGCATAGAACTGGTATAAACAAGACTAGATGAAATTACTGAGGCAGGGAGGGTAGAGAGAAAAGTGACATAATGTCTTTCACTGGAAAGAATCAAAGGAATTAAAATTCTTGGGGAATCTAAGATGAAAGAAATATAGCAGAACACAAGGAACAGTGTCTATCCCCACTATATCCTTTTGTCTATTAAAGTCATACAAGGACTTAAGATTTAGACAGGCCAGAAAAAAAGTAAATGTAGTTAATAGAAAAATCTAGAGATACTGGTATATATTCTGGATTATAGTTCCGATCTTGGGCTTACGATGTTCAGGTAACTGAACTGTTTATTCTATCTGCCACATACCACAGTAAAAGTTGAACTTAACTATCTCCAATTATGTTTGGAAGGATGCAGTATCTATTTCACTAAGTATAATGAAGTATACTATAGGACAACCCCTCTACTTCCCCATACTTACCTGCGTAAATATGCCACTCACAGTCACACTGCTCCCAGCCACTGACACTCTTTGATGGGCCTTTTATTATGTTGTTCTGTCTGGTATCTTAAAAGATTCTTCTACTAATAGAAAGAGCATTTCAAAACAAATACTATATGCTAGGCAAAGTTTTGAAAAATCAGTAAGAGCCACCAATCTCAATGTATCTATTCTCAAAAAGGCATCAGCATGTATTAAGGAATTACGGTATTTTTATGTGGAATGATGGCATTGAGGTTATATTTTAAAACAGTGCTTATCTTTTAGAGATACATCCCAAAGTATTTAGAGATGAACAAAAAAGCAACATTATGAAGTATGCATAAATGTCTCCATAAATAATTCCTAGACCCCTATAACAGCACTACAAATGAGCTTATTATTCCAATAAAATAGTAATACCAAATACTTGTGCCATAACTATATTTAAAAAAAACCGAACAGTGCCACTAAGTCGATTCTGACTCAACGCAACTCCCACAAGGTTTCCTAGGCTGTAAATCTTTATAGAAGCAGATTGCCTCATCTTCCTCCTGTGGAGTGGCTGGTGGGTTCAAACCACTGAACTTTTGGTGAGCTGCCAAATACATTAAGCACTGTACCACCAGACTAATTCAACATTAACCAAAACCAAACCCATTGCTACTGATTCTGATTCATAGTGACTCTACGAGACAGAGTGGAACTGCCCTATGGAGTTTCCAAAGCTGTAATCTTTGTGGAAGCAGACTGCCATAATCTTTCTCCCGCAGAGTGGCAAACTCCAAACCAAACTCACTGCCGTCTAGTCAAATCCGACTCATAGTGACCCCTCTTCAGGTTTCTGAGGCGGTATCTCTACGAAGTTGATTGTCCAATCTTCCTTCCAAGGAGTGGCTTGGTGGGTTTGAACCTTTGCTAGAGGGTATGTAAATCTATTAATAGCAACACAGTAATTACCATTTAGTGTGGAATTTAAGAGTCCTTGTAGTGCAGTGCTAACCAGCCTTCTGGTTAGCAGTCAAATGCTTTAGGCACACCACCACAGTGGTTTCAAACTCTGGCCTCTGGGTTAGCAGCCCAATGTTGAACCACTGCACTACACGGACTCTTTTAAATTCCACACTAAATGGTAATTACTATGTTGCTATTAATAGCTTTACATACCCTCCAGCAAAGGTGGGAGGAGCTCTGGTAGCATAGTGCCTAAGGCACTTGACTGTTAACCAGAAGGTGGTGGTTCAAACCCACCAGCCACTCCTCGGAAGGAAGGTTGGGCAATCCTACTTCCGTAGTGATACTGCCTCGGAAACCCAAGGATGGGTCGCTATGAGTCGAGCTGACTCAATGGCAAACAACAACAACAACATAGCAAAGGTGGCAAACTACAACCTTCAGGCCAAATACAACCCACCACTTGTTCTTACAAATACAATTTACTGGCACACACACACACACATTCATTTGTCAGGGGTTCTCAATTAAGGGCAATTTTGCTCCTCAGAGGACATCTGGCAATTTCTGGAGGCATTTTTTGCTTGTCAAAATTGGGGAGCAGGTGTGCTATTGGCATCTACCACTGGCATCTTGTGGGCAGAGGCCAGTAGTGCTGCTAAGCATTCTACAATGCACAGTATAGTTGCCTACAACGAAGTATTATTTGGCCCAAAATGTCAACAGTACCTAGGTTAAGATACTCTGATTTATGATACTGTGTCTGGATAATTTCCTACTACAATGGCAGAGTTATATAGCTGTGACAGAGACCAAATGGCTTATAAAGCCTAATTTATTTACCATGTGACCCTAAAAAAAAGTTTGCCAACTATTATTCTATAAAATCCACAAAATTTATATTTGTATTTATACAAGTATTTCATGAACAGATTACCTATTAATTTTAGAAACGTTCCTGTTGTGTGTCAACTTGGCTGGGCCTGGTTGAGTTGCTGGGCAGCTGGATGTAGTTATTCCCCATGGTAAGATTGGTAATTAACTCCATGAAGTGAGTTGAAGCAGCTGAGTAGCTGCTTTAGGGATGTGGTCTGCTTCCTGTATATTAGCAGCAGCTTTGGGAATAGTCTCTAGCTGATGGCATGCTTGAACCCTGCATGTAGCCATGTCATTGTTCAGCAGCCTGACATGCTCTGCTGATCTTGGGACTTTCAATGGACTTGAATTAATGGCCTGTCATGTGGTAACATCGGGACTGTGCCTTTTTACTTGTCAACCTTGGGCTTGTCAGTCTCAGCTGCCACATGCTGTCTGCATGAAGAAAAGCCTTTAGCTTCAGTGGGCCGGGAGCAGGAGGCAGAGCTGAAGTCAAGGTCGAGGGGCTTTCACCCAGCCCCTAGAGCCTGGCACTTTGAACTTGGACTTAAAGCCTCCAAACTGTGAGAGTATAAACTCCTGTTTGTTCAAGTCATCCCATTTGTAGTATATTCCTGTCAGAGCGGCACTAGGTAACCAGAACAGTTCCTTTAACAGTATTCCTTCTAAAAAAAGGCAACCCTTTCTGGCCATGTAAAAGACTATAGTAATAGGCTGTACTTTATTTTATTGATTCATTAAAGATTATTTAAAACCATGATTTTTGAAAAAGCCAGTCCACAAGTTGATGATCAGCCATGATGAAGTTCTCACTGCCCTACAGTGAATAGCAAAAGTAAGGACAAATTTAAGAGGGTTTCATAAAGCCGACTTAATTCACTGTAAAGGTCTGTTCTTTACACTGAACTTCCTGCATTTTAAAATATTAAAATGCCCTTTCTGAAACAATGCTGATAATAGGTAGTTTTTTAATATGGCAAAGTCTATAGCTGCAAACATTGTGTCAAATCATCTTATTAAAAAATACTATAGGCTCTTAGGGAGCTCTGGTAGCATAGTTCCTAAGGCACTTGACTGCTAACCTGAAGGCTGGCAGTTCATACCCATCAGCCACTCCTTGGAAGGCTGGGCAATCCACTTCTGCAGTAATACTGCCTTGGAAACCCAAGGAGGGGTTGCTATGAGTCGGGTCCAACTTCACGGCACGTTAACAACAATGTGGGTTCTTAAACTCCAAAAGTCAGAACCACTGATTTAGAGGGTTTTTGCTTCAAAGTAAATTCTTTTGATGTTGAATATGTATCAAATATCATTGCTGAAGGTATTTCTTAAATGTGTTTTGCAGTGTCTAATAAGTGATGAACTACAGCTGAAGGCTTTTCCACATTCATTACAATCGTAAGGTTTTTCTCCAGTATGAATTCTCTGATGTTTAGCAAAGGATGAATCATGCCTAAAGGCTTTCCCACAATGACTGCATTCATAAGGTTTCACTCCAGTATGGACTCTCTGATGGATAGAAAGATGTATTCTCTGGCTAAAAGCTTTCCCACATTCCTTGCATTTATATGGTCTTTCTCCAGTATGAGTTCTTAGGTGTTGAGTTAGGTATGTGCTATGGCTGAAGGTTTTACTGCATACGTTACAAATATAGGGTTTCACACCACTATGAATTATCTCATGTTGCCTAAGATGTCTCATCTGGAAAAATGCTTTTCCACAATCTTTGCATGTAAAAGGTTTCTCTCTAACATGAGTTCTCAGATGCTGGATCAGTCCAATGCTCTGGCTAAAGGCTTTCTCACATACACCACATTCATAGGGCTTCTCCCCAGTATGAATTCTAACATGTTGAGTAAGAGACGAAGGATGCCTGAAGGTTTTGCCACATTCCTTACATTCATAGGGTTTCTCACCAGTATGGATTCTCTGATGTGGAATAAGAGATGAACTTTGGCTAAAGGCTTTTCCACATTCCTTACATCGGAAAGGCTTCTCACCAGTATGAATTCTCATGTGTTCAGTCAGATGAATTAGCTGTTTAAAAATTTTTTCACAAATATTACATTCAAAAGTTTTCATTTTTGCATAACTTCTCGTATGATCGATTGAATCTAAATTGTATCTGCTTCTCTTCCCAGAAGTATCACATTTATGAACTCTTTTTCTTGGAGCACCTACCGGTCCTGGAATAACTTTTGAGCTCACATGAATACTTTTCTCAAATCTGTTAGATTCTTGGCCTCTCTCCTGAGTGAGGGCTTTCTTGCACATCAAGAGGACTTGCACCTCCCCTATTCCTTGGTTTCCCTGGTGACTTTCTAACTTATCACATTTGGAGACTTTTCCCAATGTGGAGTACAAATTGCTTCCTTTTGTGGACCTCTCCATCATCAGGCCACAGTGTAATACTTTCCAAGAAATACCATTCTTTAAAGTTGATTCTTTGGTTTCTATTTTGTTCTCTAAATCTGAAAGAAATTAAAAAAACAAAAACAAATGACTGACATTCACTGCCCTTTAAAAAATAAATTGCCATAATGATTATGAGAGATAAAAAATAATATATACTAGTTTCAGGAGTGGGAGCTCTGGTAGCATAGTGCCTAAGGCACTTGACTGCTAACCAGAAGGTTGGCAGTTCAAACCCACCAGCCACTCCTTGGAAGGAAGATGAAGCAATCTACTTCCGTAGTGATACTGACTCGGAAACCCAAGGAGGGGTCACTATGAGTCGGGTCAGACTTGACGGCACATAACAACAACAACAACAACAGTTTCAGGAAACTTGGACTTTGTTCAAATGTGATACTGCCATCTAAAAGTTGATATGAAAGTGGGAAAAAAGTGGTGAGGAGAAAACATGCTGTTTCATGTACATGAAGTAACTTTAAAAAACTGGGAGGCCCACATTCATGTGGACTGCAAGAGGAAAAAGACTGGAAGAAACATTGTTGTTTAAGGGCAAATATCAAGTGAGAAGGTCAAGGAATATGGGATTCTAGCATGACATCTCAAGCTCACATTTCTATGCTAAAATTTTATCTCAAATTCCTATTTAACTTTAAAGCAAAGTATTAAATAACATAGGGATGTATTACTAAAAAGGGAAACTCTCCCTATCCTACTTCCTTTCCTTCCAATCTCTTAAGATTTAGAACATATCTCTTACCACACTGTTATTGATTGAATTATATCCCCAAAAAATATGTGTTGTAAAAAATACCTTGTGTCTGTGGTTATAATCCCATTTGAGAATGGGTTGTTTTTGTTATGTTAATAAGATAGAATTAGTGTAGGATATATCTTGAGTCAATCTCTTTTGAGATATAAAAGAGATTAAACAAGCAAGCAGAGATGGGGGAAGAGAGATGTCAATCCACATGAAGAATGCCCACCCAGGAGCAGAAGCATAGAAGGACTTCCTCTAGAGTTCACAGAGAAAGAAAGCCTTCCTCTAAAGTGGGCACCCTAAATCCAGACTTCTAGCCTCCTAAACTGTTGTTGTTGTTGTTGTTGTTATGTGCCGTCGAGTCGGCCCCGACTCATAGCGACCCCTCCTTGGGTTTCCGAGGCAGTATCATTACGGAAGTAGGACTGCCCAACCTTCCTTCCGAGGAGTGGCTGGTGGGTTTGAACCGCCAGCCTTCTGGTTAGCAGTCAAGTGCTTTAGCCACTATGCTACCAGAGCTCCCTCCTAAACTGTAAGAAAATAAAATTCTGTTTGTTAAAGTTGTCCATTTGTGGTAATTCTGTTATAGCAGCATTAAATAACTAAGACAGAATTTGGTACTGAGAGTAGGGTGCTGCTCTAATGATACCTAAAATATAGAAGTGGTTTTGAAATTGGGTAATAGGTGGAGATTGGAAGAGTTGTCAGTGCCTAACAGTAAAACAGGAGCTCTGGTAGCGTATTGCCTAAGGCACTTGACTGCTAACCAAAAGGCTGGCGGTTCAAATCCACCAGCCACTCCTCAGAAGGAAAGTTGGGCAATCTACTTCCATAGCAATACTACCTCGGAAAACCAAGGAGGGGTCGCTATGAGTCAGGTCCAATTTGACGGCATATAACAACAACAACAATAGTAAAAAACGTAGATTGGAGTGGAGACTATTGGTAGAATTATGAATGACAAAGGCAATTCTGGTGTGGGGTCAGAAGGAAGTGAGGGGAATCATAAAGTCTCTATTGTCTTAACAGAGTAAGTATGGCACCAGCAATACAATGTTGCCAGGAATATGGAAGGAAGACCAGAGAAGAGTTGATGCTTTTGAGTTGTGGTGTTGAAAAAGAATGCTGAAAAGTACCATGGACTGCTAAAAGAACAAACAAATCTACCCTGGAAGAGGTGCAGCCAGAATGCTCCTTGGAAGAGAGAATGGCCAGACTTCATCTCACCTACTTTGGTCATGTTGTCAGAAGGGACCATTCCCTGGAGAAGGATATCATGCTTGGTAAAAGTGGAGGGTCAGTGAAAAAGGGGAAGGCCCTCAACAAGATAGATTGACACATTGGCGGCAACAATGGGCTCCGGTATAGCAAGGATCGTGAGGCTGGCACAGGCCTGGGCAGTGTTTTGTTTTGTACATAAGGTCACTATGAGTTGGAGATGACTCGACGGCACCTAACAACAATAGGAATATGGACATTAAATGTGCTTCTGGTGAAGTGTTAAAAGAAAATGGTAAATGTGACTGGACAATGGAAGAAGGGCAATACTTCTTATGCAATGGCAAAGAACTTGCCACGATTACGTTCAAATGTTTGGTAGAACTTATAAGTAATGAACTTAGATATATGGCTGAGGAGATTTCTAAGCAAGCCCTTAAAGGAGCCATATGGCTTCTCCTTGCCACTTACTATAAAATATGAGAGGAAAGAGATGGACTTAAAAATGAACAGTGCAAAATGAAAACAGAACTTAAAAATTTGGAAAATTCTGGTGGGACTGTAAAATGGTACAACCATTGTGGAAAGCAGTATGGCGATTCCTTCAAAAGTTGGAATTAGAAATACCATTTGACCCAG